CCCCCAGCCAGCGCAGCTGCGCTGGCTGGGGGATTCTGGGAGTTGAAGTCCACAGGACTTAAAGTTGCCAAGGTTGAGAAACACTGCGCTAAAGCTTTCACAATTATTATTATTATTTTATTGTTGTTGTGGGTGTTTCTGCCCTGATGTTTATTTATTTTAGGCAGGGTTTTCTCCAGGAAAGAACGTGGTTTCAGCTCGGTTTGGACCTCGCCACTTCCACACGTAACGCTCGCCTGTTTCCCGAAGGGCCGTACGTTTTTATAATCTGGTTGCCACAACAAACTGGTTTCAGTGAGAAGGCAGAGCCTTTGGGTTGTTGCAGCCTTGCTGAACATCAGGTTTTCTTTCGAAATCCCGCCTGACCTCCCACCAGGAAAATATTTCCGACATGAGTCATGCACAATAATCGGGTGGGGCTCTGAAGCTGCGGCTGTCTCTGGAAGAGGGATTTCAGAAACACTGCTTGGCAACAGAGGAGTCAAGATTTTTTCCTCTGAACTCGGACTCCGCAATGACGGTCCAAAGTTCCTATTGGAAACGGACCTCTTAAATGCGGCCGCAAACCTCTTCTCTGCTTGGAGATACAGGCAGTTCAGTTGCTTTAAGGGAAATTTGGTCCATGTTCAGCCCTCCTTTGGCTGGCTGGTTTTGTGGGTAGCTGAATGAGTGCTTTAATTTGGGCCCTTTTTATACTGTGTTAAAAAGACAGGGAGTTCTGCATTTAGAGGTTTTGAGGGTTTGAAACCCGTAGCAACTTTTTAAGTGCAAGGAAAACGGCACATCGGCAGTTAAATTCTTTTCAACCAGAGGCGTCCCACCTTGGCACAATTCTGAGACCTGTGGACTTCAACTCCCAGAATTCTGTGGAAGTCCGCAGGTTTTAGGATTGTGCCAAGGTTGGAGGCCTCTGGTTGAAAAGAATTTAACTCCTACCTAGCAGAGATGGCTAAAATATCAGCATGTCTCAAGGACCACTCAAACGAGAGATATAAACTGGAGTGGAGAAAATGGATCGACTATACTCAAAATAAATACGGGACTAAGAAATCCCAGATAGCTTATGACTGAAGAAACAAGGAATGATATGATCTGGTTAGACTTAGCCTAGCTAAGAGGAGTTAAAGCTCAAATGAAATATGATATCGACTTTTTTTTTAAAGTTTATTTTAGC